GGTATCCGTAGAGCAGGGTGCAATCTGCACATTTGAAAGAGGTGACTAGAACCAAATCTCCCCATCATACTTCCCACAGGACCACAGAGGAGGACTGTGGGTGGCGCTTTTCTCAGAAGCTGAGCATGGTGACGTCAGAGCACTTGCTTTCTCCTGCCCCTTGCTTTTGGGGGCAGTCACTGTGGGTGACAATTATCAGATCATGCCTTGCAAGTTCCTGAAAGGCAAGAGAACTGGGTCCTCATGCTATCTCTGGAACTCAGGCAGACCTCAGCTGTGCTTGGTCTTAGCTTCCTTGGTGACAGTGACTCACGGGGTACAGCAAACAGAGGATTGAAAAGCAGGCTTCGCTCTTACAGGCCATGCTGCTGGCCAGGTTACCTGACTCACTGAGCCTCAGTGGTCTTCATTGCTGACCTGAGGATCACGGGTCCTACCACAGGGAGCTGGTGAGAACTTCAAATCAGCTCACCTGCAGCAGGCACTTAGCAGAAGCCTGGCACAGAGTAGGAATTCTAGGTGTTGCTTGTTCCCCTTTTCTGTAAAAGAGGGTTTAACCGTGTCTCCTTTATGAAGTTGTCTGAAGGCTCAAGTGAGAGTACAGGTAACAAAAGTCTCTGAAAGCTGAAGACTCCAAATCATGAAGGTAGTGGCATGGGGGGTGGAGGTGGGGGAGAGGAAAGAAGGAGTTTAGTGTGATAAACCAAGGTCCCCCAACCCTGGGGCCCGGGAGGGGTCTGTGGCCTGTTAGGAACTGGGCCAAGCAGTGGGAGGTGAGCAGTGGAAGCTTCATCGCATGCGAGGATGCTCCCCAGAATGGGCATTACCCCTTACTCCATCTCCCATCAGCTCAGCTGCGGTGTTGGAGTCTCATGGGTGTGCAAACCCCAGTGTGAACTGCACATGCCATCTAGAGTCCTGAGACTCTAACGCCTGATGATGGCAGGTGGTGCTGAGGTGGTAATGCTGCTGCTTGGCAAAGAAATCATCAGCTACCACAAACATATGACAATAATAATAATAATAATAATAATACCTAAACTCCTCCACACTCCCTCAGCCCATGGAAAAGCTGTCTTCTGTGAAACTGGTCCCCAGTGCCAAAAATGATTGGGGATCACTGTCACAGGATAAGGGCTCATGAGAGAAGTAGTTCTGATGTAACTGTGTCATGGTTCATCAGCAAAGCTGAGTTCAAACCTAAACTACAAGTGCCAGGACGAAGAGCGGAGTCTGAGCAGCCCTGTGGTGTGTCCCTGGTGGCTATGGGTGCTCACTGGGGACTTCAGCGGTGGACCATAGTTGCACGCCTTGGTTGTGGCCTTCTGCTGAATGTGTCAGTCATGCAAGCACACTCAGGCCCCCTCTCCTCCAGTCTGACAACGCATTCTAAGCTGTGGTGCCTGGACTGCTGTGCCATACACTTTACAGGGCTCTGGAGACAAAGGAGCTTATGTAAAGTTCTGTTTCTCTCCACACTCTCAGGGCACATTCATAGAGTAAAGATCCCTGCAGACTACGATGTTTGTATAAACCAAAATTTCCTGAGCTCATTAGGCTGTGAGATCATCCTCTTTTCTCCATCTCCAAAGTCACAATTAATAGCTGCTGGACCAACATTCTCTGCAACACAAAGCCAAGCAAAGATATGTCCGCAGAGCTTGGTCAGTTGTGCAGGGATTGTTGCCAGGCTCCAGTGTAGCAAGGTTGATTGGGAACAATGGCTTCAGGACCTTTTCTAGATCATCCTGAATGTTCCTCTATCAGTATGATAGGACCAGGATGGCAGTTTGAAGGGCAGAGGTCACAATATTCCTTTTGACATAGCAAACATTTAGTACTATGTGTATTGGGGAAAGGTAGGGTATATAAACCCCCAATATCAAAGCATATCTCACTCCTGGGCTTAGGCTCCCCTGCAACAATGGGAGGAGTAGGGGTGCAAACAGCCCTGCTCTCATTTGAGAATGACACAGAAAATACCCTGAACACCTACCTATGCCTCTTCTCCTCCCTTCTCTGGTTAAGCCATGTCAGATCAGAACAGTCGGTAGCTTGTCACGGAGAGAAATCCGGCATCTACAAGGTGGTTGTGCAGTTTCCTAAATTCACTCTCTGAACATAATTCTAGATCATAGAGCAAAAGTGTAAGTTGGACACTAAAAATCATGCAAGGATCAGAACACAGGTCTCACATCCTGTTTTGCCAGAGCGCTGCGCATGCGTGCACACACAGGCACACACACTTATTCTTCTATTTATTTTCCTCCACTATTCATATTCATTGGCATCATCCTTTCCTCCCAGTGATGATCTACTCCATTGTCTTCTTGCCACACAATTCAACTCAAGACAATCGTTTCTTATCCACTGTGTGCCAGGCACTGAGCTTAGAGTCATCTGTTCTCAGAGTCATCTTGGATTCTCTGAGGCGCAGCATCAAACTGACCCCAAAGCCCGATCAATGCTGCCTTTGAAGCATCACCTCGATATGACTGGACCCCTTCCCTTGCCGCCGTCTCATCTCTCACACAGGGAACTGCGGCAGCTGCATCCTCTCCCTGACTCCAGCACAGATCCACATCCAAACCAGGTCAGATGCAGATGTGAGCATGAGATACGAACGCAGAAACCTTTCAAGGTCCTGCAGAATCTACTCTAACTTTGAGCACTGACTTGAAACCCGTCATCATCTGGTCCCCTTGCCAATCCTTTTCTCTCCCAAACCCCTCTCAGCAGCAGTGCTGGGTCAGTGTATCTGAGTGCCACAGTAGGTCTGACAGAAATGATTTTCAACAGTAGGTGACATAAGTACCTGAGTGGATGGATGGAAGAGTATACGTTTTGTAGCAGCCCCTCTTATTAATAGCTTTGCTTTCTGTGACATCTGTTATCTGTGGTCAACCACATTCTCAAACTACTAAATGAGAAAATCCCCAAATAAATAATTCCACAGTTTCAAATTGTGTGCCATTTAAGTAGCATGATGAGAATTTGTGCCATCTTATGCAGGACATCACCCATCAGGGGCCAGACTACGATGGATTTTCTGTCACCCATCCTAAGTAGCAAGTGTTTGTGTGCTACTTATGTTTGTCCCAGTATCACAGTTGTAATCATGTAATCTGGATTTCACTTAATAATTCTCCCAGAATGCAAAAGTAATGATTCAGATGTGGTAATTCAGACATGCTAAAGAGAAGCCATCATACGCGTCTTTCAGGTGAAAATATGTAATTATTGACCTAAGGAAAAAATCAAACGTTGAGATCTTAAGATCTATGGTAAGTTATTGATAGTCTTCTATACTAATTTATAAATTTAATCTTATTATATGTGTATGTGATAGAAACATAGTACACATATGGTTTGGTATGATCCATGGTCTCAGGCATCCACAGGGTCTTGGGACATATTCAAGATGAGGTTAAGGTGGGGACCATGTATTACCTACTGCTGCTGTAACAATTCCCACAGACTAGCAAAGCTGTTGTGTTATTGCTTGGAAGCCCAAATTTCACAGTGGGTCAGCAGGCCATGTTTCTTCTATGAAGAATCTCTCCTGTCCTTTCTGGCTTCCAGAGTTTGCCCTCATTCCTAGCTTGTGGTTCCACCCTTCATCTCCAGTGCATCCTTCCAGCTTCTGAAGCCACAGCCTCCCATCCTCCTGCTTTCCAGCCTCTCCCTTTGCCCCTTCTGACCCTCTCTCCTAAGAACTCCGTGGTTACCTCCTTGGGTCACCTGGACCATCCAAGGTACTCCAGATCATTAACCACATCGGCAAAGTCCATTTTGCCATCTAAAAGAACATATCCACAGATTCCAGAAATTAGATGCAGACATCTTTTGGAGGCCATTATTCAGTCTTCTACCATGAATGAATAGTTTTGTTTTGTTTTGTTTGTTTTGAATGAATGAGGAATGTCACGATAGTATAAGCGTCAGGGAAAACTGTAAACAGAAGAGCCTACACTCTGTCTGGAAGGGCTGGGAAAAGTTTCCTGGGTCGTGTGATGCTTGAGCACATTGTGAATAATAAGCCAGAGATCCAAAGGACACAGGGACATGGCTTTCCTGAGGGAAGGAAACAGCAGAACTGAAGTTTGCAGGCATGGTTTGGGGTTCAATGGGCAGGGCTGAGGCGCAGGTTCAAACTGAGGGCCCAGCAGGTTTGAGCCTGCCAAGCCATGAGTGTGGGGTTCAGTCTGAAGCCTGTGGAGGATCATTAGAGAAGCAACCAGGGATTTGCTATGACCATGTTTTAGACAATGCTGCCCATTAAGCCTTGTAAAGTGACAGAGATGCCCTCTCTCTGCACGGTTTGACAACTGACCATTAGTAATGTGGGTTACTGAGCCCTGAAAACGTGGCTGAGTGACTCTAATCCTGAATTTTATTGAATTTAAATTGAAATATCTGTATGTAGCTACCTGTGGAATTGGGAAATGTCATTTTGAAAAGCTCTTTTGGAGAGTGGGTTGAAGGTGATCTGAGCATGAGGACAGGATCCCAAAGGTGTCAGCCCACATGATCTTGCCCAGGAAGAATATAAAGGAGAAAAGCAGAGGGCATGAGAGAGCACAGTAAAGAGTGTCAACAATGAGAAGCTCAGCAAAATTTGGAAAAAAGAAATTTAGGACCTCTGAGAAACAGGAGGACATAGGGGATCCTGGACCCCCAAAGGATAGAAGAAGGGTCAAAAAGGAAAGGGTCAGTTACTCCTAGAAAGGTCACATGTAATGGCTAGGGAGGGGCCAAGCATTTGAAGTCTGTGACCTAGCAGAATAGCTGCAATGGGGTAGAGGTGGGAGCCAGGGGGAGGGAATGGAGGCTAGAAGGTCACCAGTAACTGTGAGGACAAGAGCAGGTCACCTTCCAAGATGCTAAGTATATATTCCTGTCTCAGTGAACCTGGCTATTGTACTAATCAGCTTTCCCATCAATGAGATGCAATACCCAACACTCACAATTTAAATGAGGAAAGTTTTAGTTTTGCTCACGGTTTCAGAGGATCCAGTCCATGGTCAGCTGGCTCCAAGGCAGAAATATCATGGCAGAGCACAGATGTTCAGTTTCTGGTGGCTGGAAAGCAGGACAGAAGAACAGCACCAGAAGAACAGTGGGCCTCCGTGACCCAGCCAGACACATCCAGAAGGGACCACAGCAATCTCCTAGGCAGCTCTTTAATCCACCAAATCGACACAGTCAAGCTTAACCATCAGAACTGTTGAGACAAAAGAGAGCCAGAGCAGGGGGTAAAGGGGACATCACGGTGAAACACAGGGGAGGTTGCACCCATTTCCATGCTGAAACCAAAGTGCCCAGAGCACTGGGGAAGTTGAAAAATGTGGGAGAGATGGGGAAAGGATCCAGGGAAGGCAATAGGCCATCTAACCCAAGTGGTCTTGTACTTTAGTTTTTTTATAAGATAAAAAGCAAACAAAAAACAGATATACAGATTCCATTTGTAAAATTCCATTTAAAAAATAATTGCCTTCATAAGTACTGCAGTCTAATGTAAAATGCACTCTATAGCATAGATTTTTATCAGTGTTTTCCCTACCGGGCCATTTTTGGTAATCCAATTGAATTAAAGTGCATCTGGTATTTCTGTCAAAATCTCCGATGCACCATAGAGTGACCAATAGGACTCTCTCTGGACTTCTGAGAATCAGCCCATTTGCTGAGGGATGCCAGAGGGACCTGCCTTCCAGCTGGCTTCCTAAGAGACTGTGGAGCAAACTCAGCGGAGAACAAGGTCAGGTCCACTTGTCCTCTCGGGTTCCCTACTGCTCCCTGCCCCTCACTTGACAGCACACCTCCCTTCGGGTTTATTGCCCATTTGACCTCCAGCAGTCTCCTGGTAACCAGGTATAGAGTTGTCCCCAAGAAGAAGCACCAGGAAGGGTCAGGGTGACTAAACAAAGACACTCTAAACAAAGACAGTGCACACTTAGTTCACTGAATAGGAAAGGTTGTGCTAATATTGATTGAAGTAATTTTTATGCCCATATTTTGTACTTGAGTGACTAAAGAAAATGTTGTATAATTTATTAACAATTGTTACTTTTTCATTATTTTGTTGTGAAAATTTGTTTTACCTTTTCTTCTTAATATTAATAAAGTAATAAAAAAAAAGACAAAAGGAAGCAGGAAGAAGGGGAGAAAGAGAAGAGAGGCATGCAAAGGGGTGAGATAGCACCCGGGATTCTTGTGGTACCAGGCTGCTTCACTACCCACGAGAGGTCTTGGACTTAGGGTATTGAAAAATGAACATAGGGGGTTACTCTGTGGTCAGTGGGAGGGGGAACCCAGGCCAGTGCTTTGCAGGTCCTTCAGGAGCCCAAGGAGGGGAGACAAGAAAGGGGAGGAGGACAGAAAAGAGAAGTTGGGGAGGGAAGAGAATGAGGATAGAGGAGAAAAGAGGAGGTGACAGAGAAGACCATGATGGCCCTGTTTTACTGTTCTCACAATTCTTTACATCCTCCCTCTTCATCAGGCCGTGTCACAATCGGATTCTGGGGTTGAAATCTGTTAAATGTTTTGGTGACTCTCATAGAGGCTTTCCCTGTCTTTATTGGTACTTGAGATGGTGACAGCTTGACTCTGTTTATTCTCTAATGACTCTAAGTCAATACTGAACACAAAGACAGAGGATCAGCCAATGGCAAAACTCACCTGTAGTCCCGTGTCACCGAGAAGGGGAACTTTGAAGATGGACAGTGTTGGGCTGGGGATGTAGCTTGGCAGTGGAGCACCTGCCTAGCCTGGGTTCAGTCCCAGCACCATGATAACAAAAACAAAACAAAATAAACAAGAAAGCAAAACAAAACAACAAAAACAAAAAAAGATAGGTCATATTTCTATGGGAAGCTAAAAAACACAAAAGAGACAAGTAAATGTCCAACTAGAAGAGAAACTGTGGTTAATTCCCATTTTTAGGTAAGGAAAATATCACCAAGCTATAGCTACCGTAAACCGGCCAAAGAAAGAGGCTACAACAACCCAGAGTTTGACCTCCCAACCAGTCCCATCCCACTGCCCAGAAGGTTCCAAACTGGGTTCCCCAGAGGGGATCTGGAGAAAGGATTCGGGCTGAGGAAGCTCTGCCCATTCCACTGTAGGGACTCCCTACCACACACACACACACACACACACACACACACACACACGCATGCACACACACCCAGGTGCATTCACACACAGCCTCTGCACAATATTTCACTTGGACAACATTTCTGCTACTAAATCTAAGTTTTAAAGAAAAACAATTGCCTTATGTTGTATGTATCAGACACCAGGCACTGTTCTAAGACTTGCTGTTCAGTGCAGATGGCTCTTTTCAATACAAATATGATCTGGAACAACTAGGAGGCCTGAGGAGTAACAGGCTGGGTGGAAGGGAGGAGCAGCCTGGGAAGGAGCCTCAGAGCAAGTTGACTGTCACTGGAAAAGGCAGCATGGTGTCCCCAACCCAAGGGGCTTGTTAAGGTGCAGAGTGTTGGCCCAGCACAGCTGCTGACTCAGAAGGTGGGGGCGGGGATCAAGAATTTGCATTTCTAATTAGTTTCCGAGGGATGTTCTAGGCCGGAGACCACACAGTACAACCCACTGGTGCAGAGACCAGACTGTTGACCAAGACTAAGTTCTGTAATGAAGTCTTCGCAATCTTTCAAAATCAATTTCTGGTGTAAACAAGAAAGGATTCCTCTCAGGCAATGTTATTCAACTAGAGAAAAAGTACCTGCCAATTTCTAAGATACGAAATAGCACATGGAAGTTTGCATAAACCGTATGACTTCAATGAGAAAAATTAGGGCTAGGGATTTAGCTCAGCAGCCTAAGTGCCTGCCTGGTGAGTGCAAGGTCATGAGTTCGATCCCTGCTACCAAATAAATAAAAATAAAAATAATAGGAAAAAGAAGTAAAATATATTAACAGTTTTCTCTGTGATATAAGACATGTCTGTCTCCTGGCTTTCATGCGGACATGACAGTTGGCGGCTGAGATGGAATTAATGCTCTATGGTATCATAGCCACCACTAATTTAAATCATTCGTGTGTATTAGGGAAGAAATGAATCACTCTTCATATGCATGTGAGTATCATGTACGCACACTCCTTCCACAAATATTTATAAATGCCTACCCTGTGCCAGGCACATGGCCAGGTGCCAGGCGAAAGACACATATTCTTGCCCTCCATCCAGTGGAGGAAACGGGAAGTTAGATAAGAGCTAATGGACGCATATGGTAGGTTCTATGGAGGAGGAACCATTTGGGTAGATAGATATTGACTCTGCTTTGCATGATGTAAGTCTGGGCTGTTTGTGTGACATCCTGGGAGAAATTTTAAGTAGGAAGCTGACATCTGTGTCAGGGTTGGGGCTGTAGCTCGGCCACTCTGTTTAATGACAGCCATGAAGGACTTCTCCATGGAAACAGGTAAACTATGAGAAAAGGAGCACTGGCATTTATGGGTTGGGTAAAGGAGGAGTAGCTGTCAAAAAGACCGAGAGGTTAACTCTGGCCTAACAGAAAGAGAAATGTTAGGGTTCGGATAAAGAATGGTCCCCCAAGGCCTCATGCACCCTTAGGAGGCTTTTGGAAGGCAGCTGACTGACCACGCAGGCCTGATCAGAGGCTGACCTGCTGCTGGGGGGTGAGGTCTGTTGGAGGAGGCAGAGACAGAGGCTGTGACACCCAGGGGTGTGTCTGCCTTTCCAGCGCTGCTCCCTTCTCTCCGGTTCCTGGCTGCTGTGTCCCTCTGCCTCCCCATTTGTGTATTTAAGTTTGCTGCACATGGACTGAAACTTCTGCAACATCACCGGTACTGGTTATCGGGTCCCGCTAACGAGAAAGTGACTAAGACGTTAGGTAAGATAACGCATCAAATTGAGGCCTGTTGATATTTGCTTTGCACAATAATGATTTGTTTATTTGAAATAGGATTTCTTGAGTAATTTCCTCAGTGTGCTCTGTGGCAAAGAGATAGTATGCTGAGTTACTGGGGGCACGTATTACACTTCCTGGTTCGACTACAATCCCCTCGTTATTTTCACATATTTTGGTGTCTTATTAAGTAAACAAAAGATTACCCTTCACAATCAAAATTCTAAAGCCCTAATTAATAATTTTCCTAATACTTCTCTGCCTACACCCACTGGTTTTTGGGTATTTAATCATACATGTAGAGCAATGATCACGGGCAGTTAGAGCCGACTTCCACCACTAATCTATTGCACGAGCTGGTTTGGGACATGAACTCACATCTGCACACTCCCCACCCCGTGTGCACATGCACCTATTTCCTTTTCCTGAGTACCTCACCTCTCTTTCCTGCTTGTCTTTAAGGCATAATTACAACAGTGAGAATGCTACATCTCAGATGAAGGTTGTCATGAGCTTTTAGAATATTCAGTAAAAATCACAGGTGCCTTCGGTTAATAATCAGTTCAACAGACTTTAATAAGCACACTTGTTCACACTGGTGCACCAGTGGGCTATCGTGTGGCCTCTTCCCTCCAAGAACGTAAGCAATAAGCAGGCCTCTTGTGATCGGAGAAGGCAGCTTACTCCAGTCGACACACGATTCGTGATGTCTGCACAAAAGCACGTATATAAACTCTCATATAAAATGTTCAGATGATGCTGTTTTTTGGCCAGGAAAGCCTTTCTTGTTCCAATCTTATTCTAAATTGCTCAAAAATATATTTGTGAGACTAGTTGTGCATAGGGTACGATTTCAGACCATCACCGTGGTCATTCTGCAAAATACATCAATGCAAAATCATATTTATGAGTCTCAGATTCTGTTACTAAACTCCCTGGTCACACAGTGCTGAAAACAGGCCCAGCCTTACATGGAGCCCAGCTCCTATTGGTTATAATGAGAACTCACCTCAACATGATGCTCTCAAGGTCTTCTCTAAAGGCTGCTGCTCATGAGCAGCTGAAGCATAGTCGCGCAACAGTGGAGCCCCACTCAGCAAGGAAAAGGAGTAATTTACCAGCAGACACACACCAGAGATGCGTCTCACAGGCCTGGGTGAGTGAAAGGATCCAGGCACTGAAAAGTCTGACTATAGGAACCCATTTGAAAAAATTCTAGGAAAGACCTCCTGATCCATGTGACAAGAGTCGATCTGTTGGCCTGGGAATAAGGACTAAGAGAGAATGAGCACAAAAGAATTTGAGGGGCAGGATGAGAATGTGCAGGATTTTACTGTGACCCCTGCAAGGCGACGTACAGCAGTCAGATTGAACTGTACATTTAGAGGGGTTTCATTGATCATACATAAAACATACCACAATAAAACCAGAAAAATAAATGATTCTTGAAATGTTATTGAAAATTATGGAAAAAAACTACCCTACAATAAAAATGAATAAATTATTGATAGTGCAACATGGTTTAATCTTAAATGCATTTGCTAAATGAAAGAAGACAGACTTAAAATACAAATACCTCACAATTTTATTTGTAGAATTAAATCAGTAATTTTTAGGTTTGGGGTAGAAAATGTAACAACAAAGAAGCATCCCAGCGCTGAGTGTGATAAACCTGTGAGTGTCATGATTGTGGCAACATGTGTACACTGCAGGAATTTGAAAGCAATCATAGAATTCTGAACCCCTAAGTGTGAGTTTTATTACCTGTGTATTTAAAAATAAACAAAAATGTAAATGTTTATCTGTTCTAGTTACTCCTTTGAAAGTTGTTATTCCAGATAGACCCAACTTGGAACTTTATGAGACAACCACCATTTACACACAGACACACACACACGCACACACACACACACACACACACACACCCCACTTCTTTACACAGAATTTCTGCAAAAATGTATTTATTGGCTGGTAATCTTACTCCTGGCAGGTTTGATTGACTTTCTCAAGACACAGTGGAAGGTGGCCACTGGACACTCTTTCCTGAGGTGCCCCAAATTGCTACCAGAGAGTTCACTGGTCACACTTGCCACTGAATGGTGGAAAGATAGCACAAGCCTCCACTCAGGGAGATAATTCATTGTCTAAATGTATTACTTAGGAACTAAATCCAGACAGATACTTGGAAAGATGCAATTAAGAATGGTGACAAATGCCTCTTGGTGTATCTGGGTACTCAGACTTCTGCTCAAGTCTTCTGTGTGCCTGAGAAACTTCAAGTACATGTCTGCATCGACACTCTCGCACCCCACGGCCATCGCTCCCGGGTGGCGGATGCCAGGTTCACGGAGCAGCCCGCCGATGCCTTTTCCTGCCGTTGCATGTACCACGTTTTCTAGTTCTTTCGCTCTATTCAGCATTTGACCCCAACGATGGGGATTATGGTATTAACTCTCTCCCCAGCACACATTCTTTACAGACTCTCACTAAATACTGTAAGCTGCTGCAGAGAGGAATAAAAGTGAAAGCGTACCGTCTGGTCTTAAGCCGAGCACACAGAGGGTCGTGATCCAATTGGAAGGGAAGCAGAATTTTTAAAAAGAAAGAGGTTTGACCAAATTTTAATCCATGTCATTTTCATTTCTCTTACCCTGTGGATTTGGGTGATTTTATTTACACTGTCAGCTTGAGCCTAGGGATTGGAAATCAGGCTTTTATGGAGATTATTAAAAGTACATACAGTACACTAAAGGGTGGGCTAACTGATAGATGCTGCTAAAAATACGAATGTGAATGCCCTGGTATTAGATGCCACTGGTGTGCATTTCATCCTCCTTAGAAGGTTATTCTTGGGAGGTGGACCGGCTGCAATGGTAATGTGATGGAGGCTGTCAGGGTATTTCTAACAGGGAGCAAATGACCAGGGATGGGGATGAATTAGCATTACTCAGATGAGAAGGTAGCTCTTTATACCATTAATGCCAAAGCAAAGTAATTCCACCACCCTTCTGGAAGAGAGGGCATTGCAAGCTGGGGGTGGGGTGGGGGGACCAGAGCTCAGGCTTTGAGGATTTACTGATGGGCTGGCAATGTCATCTGAGTCTCAAGGCCTAGTTTTATGTGGTCTAAGCGTCTCAGGTGCACCACCAGGAACACTCAGCTGGGTACTTTGGCCTGGTTGCATCAATAAAGCTCTGCACTTAGGCTCAGCCTTTAAGGTCTCACTCAATAGATGATAATGAAGCAGTGTATCAGACCTCCAAACACAAGAAGCACTTATGCTCTGATGAGGGCAGATTTAGGAGCTCAAAGACCTGGAGGTCTTGCTTCACAAAGTAGCTGATGCTGAGGGAAAGTTCTGACAAGTTTGCACATGACACCTAAATAGGCTTCCATAGGTTTTGTATGCACGGATCACGGCTGCGTAATAATCACTGAGACACAGTGAAGCAGCTTGGGGAACACTCCTCTGATTATGAGAGAAATAGCATCTATACCCTGCTTCATGAGCCTTGTCAGCGCCACTACCAAGTCAAGAGTCCCTGCTTGACCCTGGAGAAATAGGGAGGGTGGCAGACAGCAGGAAACGTCCGCTAAGTGTTGGTTTCACTTGGAGTCCTCAAGCCCTGTGACTTTGACAGTGATGTTCAGGGTCAAGACTGAGGTCCCTATCTCTGTCACAGCCTGGACCCCTCATATGTAAAGATGTGCCCTCACCTTGCACCTAGGCTCTAAATGTCAGCCTTCAACGCCTTCGCTTTTGGAAACAGGTCTAAGCTCCTTGTCCAGTTCCACATATGTTCTGTGTCATGATTTATTCCTTCCTTATCTTTTTGGCTACAGATCTGATAGTTTATTTACCCTTCTATTCCCTTTCCCACTCACTCTCCAAGCCAGTCACTCTCAGGCCAAAATGTTTACTTCCCTCGTACATGCTGATCCTGACTTCTGCCTGTGCTGACTGTATCCCAGCCAGCCCAGCCGCCCCCTAGGCTTCTCCTTGTCAGCATGCTCCCTCTCTGACATGGGCTCCCTCGCCCCAGGGGATCCCACCCAGGCACAATCTGCTTGATGACACAGGCCAGCTACCACCAGAAAGAAGTAAAATGAATCTCTACCATGATGTCACACAATCTGTCACAGCCACGGTTTCTCCATGCTAACCCTCCTCCATGAACTATCTTCTTAGTGCAGGCCTGAGGCATAGCTCAGTGATGGAGTGCTTGCTGAGCACGTGTGGGACCCTGAATTGCACCCTCAGTGCCACGAAACAAATTACAACAAAGAACAATGCCAGGCATGGTGGTACAAGTCCATAATCCCAATACTCAGGAGAATTGCAAATTTGAGCCCAGCTGGGTAACTTACTGACTTTCTGAGACCCTGTCTCAAAAAAATTTAGAAAGGCTTGAGGGTGTAATTTAGTGCAAAAGCCCAAGGTTCAATCCCCCATTACAATAAAATAAAATAACACAGAAAATAAAATTTTAAAAAATATATGTCATTCTATACCAGATCTCATATTCACATTGGATTTTCTCAGAGGTTCTATGAATCAGGTAGGATAAATGTGAGCTCCTTCTCCAGTACAGCAGCACTAGGGAAATAAAGACAAGTCCAGTAATGTGGCCCACAGCCCATAGTGAATAAATTTCAGAGATTAACTCACAAGGTCCTGCTTAATCTACAACTTGCATTCCCTGGACTCAGCTTCTTTGGAGAATAAGGATCAAATCCATGTTACCATGGGTATGGAAATTAATAAATATTTTTGCATCTTAGTTACTTTTCTCATTGCTAAAATAAAATATCCAACACTGAAAATTAGTGAGGAAGAGGTTGTGGAGGTTTCAGTCCATAACTGGCTGACTCTGAGACAGGGTGACATGTGGCAGAGAGGCAACAGTTCATGGTGGCAGAAGACAACAAAAGCAAACAGAGAGCTAGACAGACAGACAGACAGAGAGAGAGAGAGAGAGAGAGAGAGAGAGAGAGAGAGAATAAGCCTCTTTCTGTTCCTTACTTTATATGCAGGTTACCTGCTGTAGGGCAAGAATAGCACTCATACCTTTAATCTCAGCATTGGACCATGAGTCCATCATAAATTTTAGATTCAACCTCCTCTGAAAAGCTCACACACACACACACACACACACACACACACACACACACACCTATGACTGCATGAGGCTTTGAGAGGACATCTAGACACAAACCAAAACATTTTGGTAGGCCAGTGATGAGAATAATAAATATTATTTTCATCCCCAACTGTAAAAGTCAATTTCATTTTCCTGAGTTTCACACCTGTATTCTTCCACATGCGTTGTTTCCTCTACCTAGAAGTCTTCTACCTGCCCCATATGCTTATAAAAATCCCTCTTTGCCCTTTGAAAGCTGCTATGTATATTACCTCCATGCAGGTCACCTCTCACCATCCACCTTTTAAAAAGTTACTTGTGTCATATGGTCCTGGCATCACAGTTAGGATATAATTCCTTATTTTATTATCTATTTATACATATAATTCTCCCATCAGATTATGGCCAAACCTTTCATTCTTTTCTGTATTTCAACATCTGTCATGGTACCCAACACATTATAGATATTCAAGAAGTGTTCTTTGAATCAAATGTATGAACGTGACAATGATAATGGGTTGAGAGGATGATTCCACTCATGTCAAGAGATATAAATGGTTCCTTAGCTTTTAGAACTAGTTTTTCATTTAGAATTATAAATTTTTGAGGCAATCAATGCAGCTTGCAATGTAATACAAATCCCAAAGATAAGTACTTCAATCCATAAGGCCACTACTTACCCATGAACATGTGGTCTGGATTACATGAGATTTGGGGGTGTCCTTTCTTCAACTGACAACTCTGGAATCTGGGCTCCTCCTATCACATGGCTCCTCCATCTTGGAAAGCTTTTCCTCCATCTGCTCAGACAGGAGTAGGTGTAGAGAAGACACAACACCTTTAGTGCATTTCGCTTAGAAGTAGCAGGCTTCCTTCTATTGTTGGAGGTCAGGGCCCTTTGGCCCAACTGCAAAAGAGACTAAGAGATCTATGTGTCTTATGTGCCCCCAAAGACACTCAAAGGTGAGGATTTGATAAAAGTCCACTGGTATAATCTGCTCTTCCAGGCACCAAATATCCATGTCACTCATCTTCTCACAGGACACGCTTGTCCCATCCCGAGGGAGACAGCTCAAGGTCCCATTCACCACCATCTTCTTCAGTGTTCAGCCACTGCATGAATTGGCACCCCTCGGTGTGCATGTTAGAAAGGCACTATCTGTACCCCTCTTCCCATCATTATTACCCAGGTAGCATAGTGAGGAAAGAACAGGACAAATGCCCCATGGAAAAGGAAATCACAGCATACAGCACCGACTCCACGGGCATGCTGCATCCCTCTGGGTCACCATGGGGCAGCCATTTTTCTCTGGGCACAGCAGAGGTTTTTGGATTCAACTCCAGGATTTGGCTCCTTTATTTATTCTTCATCTTGGTCACTTGTAGTTGGTGTGGGAGGACGTGCCTTCCTGCAATCTCGGATCTTGGTCTCTGCTCAATTTGGGATGGATTGGAAAAGCAAAACTTGTTTTAAGCCTTGAATAAACAAGTTCGAAAATCCAGGCCCCTGCACTCCTTGGCAATACACTTCACAGAATCTTAGAAGGCATGTGACCTGCTTGTCTTCAGTCGGGGCTGTATGCCTGTTACCAGAGATGGAGGTATTTTCTAGTGATTTTTGTTATCAAATTTATTGTTTTTCTTTTGCTTCTTTGCTTTTGGTCCTTTCTCTTAGCATAAGCATTGAGGCTGTTGGAAATCACAGGTCCGGAGGCTTTATTCTTGAGCCAATGTGTGCTTCAAATTACTTCATTCCACCCAGAATTTTATAGAATGTAGCATTGTCCTGATCTATGAACTTAATTCCTTCTATGACTCTGGTCACAAACCAAATTGAATGAGAACTGATTCAACTTCATTAACTAGGCCCAATGTTGACCCTATGGTGAAATTTGATTCAGTTCTTGTCCAGTTTGGTTTGTGACTCAAATAGTGGAAGGAATTAAGTTCACGAACTAAGATATCACTGCATATGCCACTTAAATTCTTCTTAGTTCCATGCCTCATTATTTGGTTCCAAAATAATTTATTTTTTCCAACTGCATAAGGCCACATTTCCAGACGCAATGTATCTTATTCTATTTGTGTTTGAAAACTCAGAAATTTTTTTTTCCTGGTTCATTTCTTTCTTGTAGCTAGTAACACTACTAAAATTTTGGTGTCTAATCATTTCCCTTAAATATAATAGTAGGCCAACAGACCACTTCTTGTTAATAGCAATATTTATACTATATGATTTATCACTGCTAATCTTATTTCTTTGTCCTCTGGTGTTAGTTTGCTTTGTGTCTGCTGCTGAACTCTAAAATTTGTGGGACATATTTAGGGTAATGTACCAGGCAAATACAGTTTGGTTATGTCAACATCTCATTTCTGGAACTGATTTCTTCTGTATTAGAGCAATGAATTTCAGTTGTACTAATAGCCTCAGAGGTTTCACATACAGGTTTATCTCTCCATCCTGTCCCTATCCAGTGTGAGTGTAGAAGCTTTCTTTGTAAACTCATCTTTCAAATGATAACTCTGGAGCCCAAAGTTCTTTCATCTTCTGAACATGGAATCTTAAACCATTGCCCTCTAAGCTCACTGCGTAATGGGAAATGAAATGGAGAATATTGTCTAACTGTTTTTATAGAGCAGAGCCAGACGTAGTTTACATACTTCTCTCCTAATTTGGGGTGTGAGAATACGGTCATATGGGCTCAACCAGATTGCAAAAGAAGGACAGTAGTGATTTCTATATGCTCTGGAACAGGCAGTGGGACTGGTGAGTGTCCTGCTATGTTAGACCGTTTCATTCAGTTACTTGATTACTCATTGATGACTGATCAGACTGAGAAGAGTTTCTCATCGTTTTCTCAATCACCAATTTGATGCCTGGGCAAACACTTTTATATTAAAACACAGGCTTAATGTACTTTAAAATTATTTATGTGGAATTTAAAGCAAGTATACTTTCCTCTCTTTAACTAATGGGTTAAACTGAAACACTGAGAGATCTCAAGAAACCAACTGAGAGTCATCAAATAGTCTATGAGAACTTTTGCTTCTGCTGGAGTTTGGGTGACCTGGGCAAGGTAATCATGAACTGCCCATAAGTGACAGCCACCCAGGCCCATTCAGGTCCTCACTGTGGAGATGGCTTAGCTTAAGTGCACTGATTATGTCCCCAGGTCAGACTCAACTGTCATTCAACTCCTTCTCCTTTGAAAAACCTCACCTCACCTGATGGGCAGAGGACCCGATCTCCTGCCTAGCAGGTAAGTGGTCACCCTGGCGCAGGAAGGAGAAAGAAATGGAAATGACACAGAAATCATAAAGGAGCCAGTTATGAAGGTCCCTTTTCCTGTTTGCCACACTGAGAATTTCCCAGACTGGCTCCTGTGTTTCCTGTGAACACACCAAAACATCAGAAGAATCCCAGCACCCAATCTGGAGGCCACATTCACATGGAAACCTCCTGATGTGGTGCCAGGTCAGGTAGGTGCTATCCCTGAGGTTGTTTAGGGGCCTGGGTAGAGCTGAGAGCTTCCCAAGGCTGCACTTGGCGCACAAGGAAATCAAAAGCTCTGTGTAGTCCTAAGGCAGAACCAGAGAAGATGTGGGGCTGTGGAGCTAGGGCAAAATGGCCACAAGCCACATGGACTGCACCATTGGAAGTAGATAGCCAGGACCATGGGCAGGATTAAGTGTAAACCCCAAAAGACAAGACAAAGAAGCCACTGTATGGTCTTGAGCCTAGAGAACCCAGAGAACAGACCAGACAAGCCTGCACCAAAGACCACCGAAGACTCAGAGATGATGAGCAAACTCAAGGTCCCATCCTAGCACCACCAGGAGGGCACAGCACAGGGGCCATCTTAGCCAGCAAGTGGAGGGAGGAAGGAAAGTCTCTGAAATACTGCATTTTTACTCAGAAAAGGGTGTTGCCAACAAGACAAGGGACATAGAGGACAAGATCAAAAACAATATTATAGAATTTAAATGCTCCGACCTTTGTACTCAGCTGAAGATAGTGGTTATGATTTTTAACCTCAGACTATATTAATGATGCAAAATCACTGGCCAGAGGCCAAGAGGCAGGGGTGTCCAACCACTGGCCACAGATTAGACATAGCTGGCTTGCCTGGCCCATACCAAGGAAGAAGGAACTGTGTTGAGCTACATATAAAATACGGAGTATATAGCTAGTGTACATAAGTAACAAAACTTCTGTGTGTATGTCCAGCTCACAAGATACAGGTTGGACCTGTAAGGGGAAGGTTGTGGGTCAGATAGAAATTCATGTAATGTCACCTAAGCTGGGTAGCTTTGCAAGACTTTTCACCTATTCTCAAATATAAAAATATTTCTTTTCATGCCATTGGAGGGAAAACGCAATGACCATATTTTCCTTGAAGAAATGTAACATCCTTAGCAACAATCATATAGAAAATATAGGTAACATAAAGCTTTACACATCTTTATAAGTCTGTATCGTGAATAAAAAACCAATATATGAGAAATAAATTATTCACTAATGTCAGGCATGTTGCATACACTACTGTACATATTCCTCAAAGCACCATGGGAGTTGGGCATTATTTCTATTTTATAGATGAAAAACTGAAACTGATAAGTAGAAGTCAACTCATCCAAAGTCACTGAGGCTTGAAGATTCTGGGCTGCATTGGAACACAGTGCCCAGCTTCTCTTCACTGGCCTGGCTCTCGGCACTCCTGCCCAGCAGTTTACAGAGACCTGTGTCAACCCCATACTCTAGGAAACCCTCCTTCAAAACCATCCAGCTGGATGGACTGCTCTTGACCTGAGTGAAGCTGCGCACCCAGGCCATGTCCCCTCCGAAGAAGCAAGATTTGTTCTCTTTCTGTCATGTTCCAAGCCATGATGCTGCAAAGAACAATCCCTTTTCCTTTCAGGCTGCCACATGTGCATTCGCTCCCATCAAGATGTATATTCACTCAAGAAAAGCCCAAGTTGCTTTTCTGCTTGCACAACTTCTTGGGCTCACGGTTGGAAGGGCAATTGTCTTAATAAGTCAGGAGCTTGGTGTTTGGGCCCCTGGTTGAGTGGCTTAGCCTAGTAGAGGAGCCTGCTCTCCTAGATTCTGCATGCTTTCCATGAACCATGGACAAACCAGAAAGTAAGGGTGATGATCCCTTGGAGTGCAGATGCCAGCAGGAGCACCAAGGGAGAAGATGCCAGTGTTTGGAAGACACTTTTAAAAATGTTCTCATAACCTGGTTTATATGTGGAATCTAAAGCAGCTGGTCTTATAGAAATACTGGGTAGACTAGTGGCTACTGAGGTTGGGCAGAAGGACGGCAGGCTGGATAGGGAGAGACTGGTCAGCCAATACAAAGTTTACCATGGGGAGGAGGAATAAGGTCAGGTGTTCTGTTGCACAGCAGGGTGACTATGGTTAACAACATCATACTGAATATTTCTGCTGGCTACAAGAGAGAATTAGGCACTAGATGTGTTAGACATCTTGATTTGATAACTATACGATGTGTACATGCGTCAAAATGTCACACCGTACTCCAGAAATATCTATTGTCATCAAGGGTTCATTGAAAACAAAATTGCTTTCCAACATTTAAATAACGCGTCCCATGGAGCACGAAGCATGTGGGAGGGAAATGATGATGGGTTTTCTGAAGTCGCAGAAAAGACTAAACATGGCCCATTTCTTAGGACATAAGGAAAAATAGGCATCGGGCCAGTGGAAACCAAGAAGTAAGCCAGAAAGAAATGGAAGCTTTTCTGCTTTTCCTTACTAGTTCCTTTCTGCTTTAAG